ACTCTTGGTTGAGATAGAGACAGTTTAATTGGTAAAGAGAAACAAACAAAGAAGACAAAACAAAGAAAAACAAGCGATGGATAAAGCAATCACTTGTAACCGGCTGACCTACGCACAGCCAGTGCCCAAGCAACAAGCAACCTCTGGCAAATTCCTTCATGCCCTGTTTTACTGCAGAACACAAGGTCATATGGAATGAAATATCCCTCAGCTGGGGTCGGCTGCCCTGGCTGTGCCCCTTCCCAGACTCTTGTCCACCCCAGACTGCAGCCTGTGAGGGCAGCGTGAGACATGGAGAAAGCCTTGATATTGTGCTTGCACTGTTCAACATCACTCAAATTGTCCCTGGGTTATCAGCACTGTTTAGGTCACAAATCCAAACCATAGCACCACATGGACTGCTAGGAAGAAAATTAACCCTGTTGCAGTCAAAACCAGTGCAGGCCAGTAAGACAGACTTTGTGGACGACCCTGGAGCACAGTGGGGAAGATAAAGTAACTCCAGGGGATGAAGAGAGAGGTCAGGAAAAAGACAAAAGGTAAGCACAAGACACTGAGTTTGGAGAATTTCCCTTGGATCAGGGGGAGCTAGTTACAACACTTCAGCTTTTCTGTTTGCTTTATCTCACAGTTAATTTCACAAGCCGAGGTATCTTCCAATTAGTGCTTCTATGGGACCCCGACAGCAGAAGCCCTAGAGCAGACACTACTGGTCTCTGGGAACTATTCAGGCAGACACACAAGAGCAGCACTGAAACCAATGGCTTGCTAGTGCCAGAGACACAAAATACTGCCACAGCCAAAATTTAGCCACAGCCAGCCTGTCACAGAGCCACTGCCATCACTGTGCCCAGTGAGGGACAGTGAGGTAAGGAAAGGGGAAGGGCTCTACCTCAGCCATGTACTGAGACAGCAAAAGAGCTTTTTGTGTCTGCTGTGCCCCTGCACTCTCTTCACTAACCCATAACCTTGTGCAAAGTGAAAAGATCAAATTATATTATTATTCTAATAGTCAGTGTCCCCTGTGAAAAGTAGCAGGGGAAGCCTGTGTAAGGTACTTCCACTCAGACCAGAATCTCCAGTGTTGAGGACCAAATGTTGTGGGTTTGATACTGCATTTCCATCCAGAAAAGAGAAAATTCCATCTAACACAATATCCTTGCTAAAGTGTGTGCTAAGTGCTGTGTTTCTACACAGCTGATAGGTAAACATTCCATTTTAATTTATAACCCTGTTCATGCTTTCTGGAAAAAGCTACAATTAATATTAAAGCCAATGTATTATAATGAAGCACCCTCCCTGCTAGACAGGGAAAGGAGAGCCTTAGAACTTGATATGACAAATGCATCTTTTCCCAAAATACACCCCTGCCACTCCTACTCTAACTGCAAGCTTTTCAGACCAAGGTGTGGATTCAGTGGCTACCACAACAGCATCCCAGCCCTGGCTTGGACTACCACTCTTACTGAGAGGGCCAGTAAAACCATGGGCAGCTCGCTTAAAACATGGAGTAAAGTGGAGCTTTTCCCAAAGTCTCCCCAAAAACCCCTGAAGAGTGCCATGAACTCTCTGGGGATAAGGCAAGAAAGAAGAGGTATTTTCCATGGGATTCTGCTTCTCTCTATGCTGCTACATGACAGAGAAGGACAATTCATCCAAGGCCAATCCAGCCATGCTGCTAAAGTGCAACTTCTTTCAACTTCCTCTTTCCCTTGTTTTACTTGGCCTCAGCAGTTCTCCAAATCCTGAATACCTGTGGGAGTGCCCATAGCACAGACCTGGAGAAGAAAGCCCTTTCTTTCCCACCACCAGGAAAATCATGGTTTGAGGTCAGCCCTGCACTCCTCCAAAACCTTCCACTCGCTCCAACTTCCTTTCCAGGCCCAAATGCACTGTCCAACACCAAAGGGCTCCCCATGTGCCTCACCAAACCTTTCCCACCTCCTGATATTCCAGCTCCAGCTGCCACTCCTTGTCCCACCAACTGCTCTCTGGCTGCCACCCTCACACTCAAAGCTCTCCTCCTCTGTTCTACTCTCCACCCAGCCCAATTCACAACATTTACAATACATTTATCTCTCTCCACAGAGACCATTCCCCTGGTTGCTGGTTTATTGCCCCATTTTATCTTTCTCAGCAGCAGAGGCTTCTCAGCACAGGCCCTGATGCCCTAGTGCAGTTTGCAGTGTAGGGCTCAGCTCCTCAGTTGTCTCCCAAGAGCTGTGGTTGGTTCATAGCAGTTCTGTATCTATCTCTCTGCTGTTCATGATTCTCTCTCCTGGCAGGGATCTTCTGCCTCTCTTCCCAGGGAAGCCCCAGTTTCCCAGTGCAGGGGGATCCCTGAGTTTGCTTGCAGGCTGGGACCTCAGCACATTCAATTAACATGCAGATGTGACAGGCCCATGGCAAGTCACTTACAAACTTCACTGAGCATCATCATATGCAAAATCTCACTCTGCACACACCACAGACTCTGACTGCAACCACACACTTGGGTTTGCACAGGCATTGGTGCATAAGTAATTTAGGAGGGGTGAAAAATAACTATTGCTTGAGCTTATCTTTGGGGTTAGGTGTCTAAAAAGAGATTTGGAAGAACCCAGAGCACATCTAAAAAACCACCTGAGAAAAGGGAAAGGGATTTCCAAAACCATCACCAGGCGCAGAATTATACATCTTTAAATTAGCATGTGATTGAAGCCCAACCCAACACCTGACCTCAAATTCCCCTTTCTAACTGTCAATTCTCACATCTATAGAAGATTTCTCTCTTTAAATGCATTTTTTCTTGGCTGTTTCTCTAAGACAGCACATCAACCTTGGAATATAAAGTATGCTAAAACTGATGATTTGGAGTTAGCTTGTTGGGGTTCTTAATTTTTGCAAGGCATTATTGCCCTGAGAGCATCATCTGGACATGTCATCTGGAGTGTCAGTGATGCCCTGTTCTAGTAAAAACACACCAAATCACAGCCACTTAGTTCACCTCTAAGTAATGCCAGAAATGTCAAAAAAGGGCCAATGTCTATTCCTGCTGCCCAAGCTGTCCTCTGGGACAATGACCATCTCCCACCAGCTCCTCTGGGTGGACAGCTCTGCTCTCTCTAACCGTTCAGGTGTGCTGGGAAGTGGGGTCAAAGCTTTGCCCCTTCCCTTCAAAGGCTGGGGAAGGCACTGTCCTAAAGCATTCCCCTGCTCCCTCTGCACTGTCTTGTGCAAAGAGAGACCTTTCCAGAGAGCTCTGGTGAGGTATGCACCTCCTTGCTCAGAATATTAGGCAGTTCTGAAATTCCAGGGTTTGTGAAATCCTTTTGAACTCCTAAATATCTTTTAGACAATGGCATAGACTGGAAAGAAGGCTTGCTACTGAAATTTGTATACTCTGAGCAAGACCTCAGGCTTGCTCTGGGTAAAGCTGAGAGGAGTGCAGGTGCAGACCACAGACCTATCTAGGACTTAGATTAGCAAATCCAAGATGAGGATCCAGTTTTCTATGTCAATTTATGGAAAAGCTGTTTTGCTAGGTTCCTCCTTATGTTTTGTGTAGATCTGTGAGGGATTGGGTGTCACCAGCTGAGCCTCAGTTGACTCCTGCTGGTCTGTGTAGGGGCATTGAATGTGCAGAGAGGGCAGGAATTTATAGGCCATAAAGCTGATGTGGACAGAGACCAGCTGACATTTCCAAAAGGGTGTCAAAGCCATAGTGGGAATTACCTGCTAAAAACTGCTGGGTATCAAAGAGCCTGCATGTTTGGTCCCTCTCCAGCTTGTTGGGTCGGTCACTGCAGAGCGCCAGAGGCCCATCCCAGTAGATCCTGCTTTGGCAAAGTCTCTTAGCGTAGAGGCCATCAGGTGCCATCCATAGAATTACTCCTCGTTCCAGGTGGCTCAGTAGTTTTTCTATGTTCTTCATCTGGCCATTATCCTCTGGATAAGGGAAGATAACTTGGTCCAGGCTGCTGACCTCATAGCTTTGGCCGTGGGATATCCTACAGCCTTCAGGGCTGGAAGTTGTCACCTCCTTCACCAGTATTTCACGGTAATACAAGCAGATGTGGAGTCGGCAGTCTACAAGGAGAAACAAACAGACAAACCAAAAAACCCAATCACTGTGATACATTAGTGTGGATACATTTTATGTTTCAGATCTGTGCTGAGGCCAAGAGACAAGTTTGCATGAGATTTCTGAGCCCAATGGTCAGCACCACCCATATGCTCCTATTAGTCAAAAAAAAAAAATATAAATACTAAATTTTTTTTGGCACAATAGCATTAATGCTCTCTCATCTTATTAAAAGGGCTACTGATATATGGGAATTTGGTAAGAACTAAAATCCCACAAACTCCACATTTCCATTTAAAAGAAAATCTTCACAGAAAAAGTTGATGTTGGTCACATTTTCCAAGTTCACGTCACAATTAAACCCACTGGCTCAGTACACTTCCTCAGATTTAACAAGGAAGTAGCTGTGTTTCCCCCCAGACTTTGCATAGAAAAGGCTTCTGCACAGGGGACCTGCAAACCTGCACTCAGCTGCCTGGAGAGAAACAACTACTGGCTCCAGCCCCAGCAGGGCTGTACCCAAAAATCGCCTGCATTGCTTTCAAATGGCCATTTGGTCCACTTGGCTGACTCCCACAAATTCACACAATACTGAAAATATATATACATACATACATACATACATACATATATATACACACACACACACACACATATATATAGTATATACCTATGTGTACAGTATAGGTTCACATACATGCACAAAATCACACTCATCTACACACACTGACCCTGATTCAGGAGAACAATCCCATTTAAGAAACCCACCAAGTATCACTCTACAGGTCTATCAATTACTTCTGTGAAAAGCACATTCCCACACCCTCTGCCAGAATTACTTAGAAAGTTCCCCAGCATCCAGCCATCTGCAAACCTGGCTGAAATAACTTCCCTTTTCTGTCCTGAATATCTTTTCTTTTTTTTTCTTTTCCACCAGGAATAACAAAGCAGAGCAAAGTCAGATGGCACCAACAGGAGCACTTCAAGGTACCCAGGTAACACCATTTTGGGGGTGGTGGGGGGGGAGTGGGCTCCTTCAAAACGAAAATCTGAGCCTTAAGTCACTGGCACTCCTAAACTGCCAAACTCCAAGTTTGGGGAAGGCCTGATTTGGTGTCTCACCAAAGCAACCCAGCACTAATACTACAGGCCAACGAAGCATTTCCAGCAGCTTTAACCACCTCCATCCCTTGGATCTGGGACTGGAAGTGCTTAAATATCCTAGAAAACAGAGACTTACAGCCATACACCAAATTCATTCACTAAAAATGTTTCTCTTTATATTTTTTCTTCTTTTTTCCTTTCATCTGAAAGGGGAGATGGTGCCTGGGCAAGTCAGAAGTGGGAGTCTCTTGTCAAGCTCCCCAGGAAGCCTGGGGGTTACGGGCCTTACCTGAGAGAGCGAGGGCTTCACCAGACCTTATGCTTGGCTCAATCGGGATGCCAGGAGTCTGGGACTCAGGAGGAGCACAAGCATAAAAGGTTCCTGTCACCTGGCAACCTGTTTTCACAAAAAAATGTCAGTGACAGCAGCCTAAATCCTAAAAGAAAAGCCAGGTCAGAGATCACAGCAATGCAAAAGTGCGTTTTCCTGGGCCCCAACAGAAAATGTCTCTCTCTTTCCCCTTCTTCTTAAAGAGTTCCTATTTCCCAATTCCCCCAGGCAGGCCAACTCTACCAATCACTCCAGATGTTACCTGGACTGTGTTTTCATTTGGATCTGCATGAAATCGTCCCTTAGCCTTCCTTCATACCCCCTAGTCCTTTTCCTTACTTAAGATGTTATTCCATTAGAGAAATAATTTACATTTTTAACTAGACTACAGTGTTCTTAAAAGTCGCCTGCACAAAACAATTCATATTTCCAAAAAACTTTACTAATGATGGGTATAACAATAAAGCTGGGATTAACACTGCTTAAATGTAGGAAAGAAAAATGTGCAGCAGGAGATTATTAGGGTTTTATTATCAGAACTACTAGTAAACTGTACCAAAATATGTCTTTCAGTAAGTGAATTATACCATGGACAATTTATGTTTTTCCTCTGTTTCTTAATGCCAATAGAAGTCTTTGGAGGATGATGCAAGTGACTTGCAGACAAGCACACATTACCTTTCCCAGTGGCAGAACCCACCATAATCAGGAGCTGGAGAGACAGGGATAAAAAAACCACCCACAATCTCTTGAGGCGTTTTAGAGCCCAGAGAGAAACACGGTATCAACCACTAACAACTGCCTACAAATTCAGCAAAGTATCCAAATGTGTATAAGTGCAGAAAAGGATATATTTTATGGCAGAGCTCATTCTGCTCTTGCTGCCTTGATTTTTTTATTAGCAAATAACTCAACCAAAAGCAAAGCATTCCGCCTAGTAATTCCAATACACTGCCAGCAAAAGTTGCAGTACACTGAGTATTTCCTATTTAGAAGATCCAAAGATTTCTCTCCATCAAAGCCAGGAGAGAGCTGTTCTCTGAAAATACAGCACCTACTCCAAGGGTCCTTTCTTGTTTCCCATTCTTTTCTACCCTTCTGAATCAGGTGCTTCTCCTCACAAAGCAAATGCCTGCGTCCTCAGGTGAGTTACCCTGCAAGGGTCTACAGCTTGCAGTTCCCTTTCTCTTGTGTTTTATTCCCTGCAGGCTTCAGCACTGCCAAACTTTCACAATTTGGGCTTTTTCCTACAGATGCAGAGCTTGGAAAGCCATGATTGTGTCAGGCTCTGCTACTGTGAGATCTTTGGGGAAAGAAACATCCCGTTATTCAGTTTCTGCTGTACCAGCCCCAAGAGAGTCTCAATCCATGACAAGTTGTCCCATTGCCACAGCACTAAAATGAAGTAATAATTCCAGCTTTCCTCTAGGGAGAATAATGCCAGTCTAACCCACAAGGCTGGAGGGAAAACCTCACTGGTGTATGCCTCAAAAAGTCCAAAATCAGAGAGAAAAGCTAAAGAACACATGTTCCCATTTGGGGTTTTTGTGAGGGTTGGTTGCCTTCTTTATTGCTCAGGGCTTTTGAGACAGCTGAGGACTTTTGGGGGCTGATTTCTATCAATGCAGAGAACTGCACAGCCCACACACCACACATAGAGTGGCAGTGAATGCAAGAGCCAGGACAAAGGTGGCTCCCTTTCCAGGGAGCCCAGCACTCCACTCCATCCACATCTGTTAATTCCAATCAAACCCACAAATAATAAGCCTGGAACTTAAGGTTCCTCCAGGTGGCCAGCCTCAGCAAACAGCTCTAAACAGGGGTGTCTTACCATTCTCACAGCCGGGCCCTTGCCAGTGATGACCGCGAGCGGCGAAGGGGACGCTGGCGCACTGGTAGGGAATGTCAGGATGCGGCTGCTCCGGGACAAACTCCCTCCAGTTCCGCTCATGGGGCACCATGTAGTTGGGTACCTATTCAATTTAACGAGGTATTCTTTCAGTAGGCAGCTGTCAGAACCAGTGCTGTGCATTGCATCAGCTTTCTCATCTCAGCTCCTTGATTTTCCCTGCCAAAGCCCATGGAGGTCTGGGCTGTGCCCAGGCTACGCGGATGGCACTTGGCCACCACCACCAATGAGGCTTTCAAATAAGTTTCTCACCACTGGTGTAAATAATAAGCAGAGTGGAATAACAAAAGGCAGTCAAAGCACTGCTGGTAAATGTCTGCTTGAAAGAGCAAGGCTTCATTGGGTGCTTGCATTCTGGCATCAACAGAATGGCGGTGCACTAGGAACTGTCGTCCAACAGAAAAGAGCTATTACTCCGGGATAAACAACACCAAGGGAAATCAATTGCCCTGTGGCCTCATCTGACATTAGAAAAGTTGCTTCTCAATTTCTCAGTTTTCATAATGAAGTTTCTTCACAGGGAGAACCTGAGAGCCCCAGCAGCAAGGACCGACACAGCACAGAGCACAGAAATTGTGCGGTTCAGTGCAGAGGCACCAAGCAAAACACTCAACTAATGCCATACCTGGGATGGTAGTGCAGTGTAAGGAGATGTTATTGGAAAGGGATGGTTCATCATTAATGGCTGTTCCTCCATGCTGATCTGTTTTGCACCTGTGTTCGCCAGAGGGATGAAAATAAATTATGTCAACCACATCTTAAGGAAATCTGAAATTGGCACATTAAAGACAGATCCATACAACCTGCCACTGAACAGAGGGAGGACCAAAATGCCTTCCAGCTCCCACTTGGGACTGGATTCCCCTGCCCCCCTTGCAGCCAGCTCCAGGAGGCAGTCTGTCCCCTGGGCTCTGCAGTGCCCCACAGCACAGTGTGTTTCAGCCTAGTGCACAAGGATGCCAAGCCTTTGCCTCCCACCAGGGCCTCACTGGAGAGCAGGCATTGCCCTGCCCCTGCCCTGGAGGCTGCAGGCTGGGCATCCCTCACTCCCAGCTCCTTCCTGCCAAGGCAGCTACCCACTGTCTGCCCCAAAATTGCTCTTCCCTGTATTCAGAGCCTAGATCCAGCATGCAATTTTTTTATTTTTTTTTTTGCCTGTCCCCTGAGCCGCCTGCTTGGCTCTCACTACACAGAACTGGCAGGGAGGCTCCAGCTAAAAGAGCAATTCCTCCAGTGATGTGCAGGCGCCTGTCTGCATCTTCCTGCAGGGGCTCCCTCTCAGGGCTCCAACTCAAACACCAGCAGTCCTCCCGCAGATGCAGCCTCTCAAGTCACCAGAACAAGCTGCACTTGAGCCCTCATTTCAGTCCCTTAAAAGACTTAAAAAGGCTGCAGAGCCATTCCAGAAAAGCACACTTCAGTCCTCATATGCTTGCAAAGAGACATATTCACGTTCTGTTACACGGGGAATTTGAGATGCTTTACCTTTTTTGGCTCCTTCTGGCACTACTCTGTACACTTTATAGGGATCTGAGATGTCCAGCTGGCTTCTCTCCACCAGTTCTTCAAAGTCATTGCTCTTGTTCAAAGCACACCTTAATCTTGTCTTCCAGGTAGGGGGATCTGGTTTATCAATGCCCTCTCTGAACTTTCCTTTAAAAAGAGCCCAAGCCTGGAAACATTTCAGATAATCAAAAGAGCAGGAAAATGAAAAAAAAAAAAAAAAAAAAAAAAAAAAAAAAAAAGAAAAGGAAAAAGAAAAAGGGAAAAAAAAAAGGAATCAAGTACAAGGTACAATGCCCAATGCCTGAAACATCATATGTGTGTGTGCTTACATGTGCATGAATTGTTCATGAATTTACTCCCTACAGGCTTAGGCTAAAAGAACAGCATCATGGTAAGGTACAAAAAAAGAGTTTAGTGGGCATCAGAAAGGGGAATGAACATGGAAACAGATGTGCTGCAGTCCCAGAAGCATTTAGCTCCACGCAGAGGATTGTGGAACAGTGGGCTGTCCCGCAAACACAGGGACACCAGGACACAGCCAGCGCCACCAGCCAGGCAGTGTCCAGCAGCAGCCATCCAACAGAACCAGCCTGCAGAGGCAGGTGGCAAGGATGGGATGGTGAGGGGCATCCTCACCTCACTGATGCCCTGCCAGTGTTCCACAATCCCAAGCCCAGGCTGAGCCTTACTTTGAAGAGGGCGGCGTCCTCCTCCCGGTTGTAGTCCTGCTTGCCAGCGTGCTTCCAGGGGATGCGGAAGATGCTCTTCTCGTCGTTCTCCCACACCAGCCCGGGGTACTTGCCGCTGTCTATCTGGTCGATCAGCCACTGGCGGAGTTTCCCATTGCCACAGCTCACTGAGTTCATCCCGCACTCGCCCGGCTCCAAGTTCATGCCACTCACGTCTGAGGTTGGGCAGGGGGTTTTGGGGTGCCCCACCAAGCTGACCTCTGCACACACGTCCAAGCACCGGCTCTCTGGCAGGCTGCGGAGGAGGGGGAAATGGGCAGGATGTGGGGAGAGACAAAACCACAGGTCAAGTGCTGGGCTAAGTCTGCACCAGCGGTGCCCGGTCTCTGATGCCACACAGACCACACCAAACAGCTGCCACGGCACGCAGGGGGGCCCTGGGGGCCCCGGGAAACACGGTACGGAGCCTCAGGAAACTGGGCACAGCCCCCCACAGCCCTCCCCAGGCACTGCCTGCGCTGCAGACTTTGACAGACTTCCCCCCGTCCCGATACTGTTCTGCATGAGCAGGCGTCGGTCGTTGAAATTTTTACTGTAAGTGACTTAAGGCACAACTCCCTTGTCCTGCTGAGAGTTCAGCTGGGGGTTTACTTTTCAACCAAAAGAGGAAAAAATTGCATTAAAATGTACCTGAGTGTGATCGTGCACGTATGCGATGTGAGACATACCACGCACACGATTCGGAGGGCTTCACATGCAGTTACAGTTTATATGGCATCTCTCTATGACACCAAAGTAGCTTTCCCAAGCTCCCTTCAGCACGACACACTTGAACACATGATGTCCTATACATATCTACCCCTCCAACTGCTCCCAGCACGCACACTTAGCAACATTCAAATCTATAACGCTGCACATACCTAAAAGTGGAAAGACAGCAACCCACAGAAGCCCAGCATAAGGGCACTTATGTCCCCAGGGACGTGGGAGCTTGCAGCCCACCACACAGAGCCCCATAGCTGCGCGCAGAGGCGCAGAGGAGCGGCTCCACAGGGATGGGCACCCGCTGGCAAGGTGCAAACGCCAGGACACCGGCATCAGGGATGGGGACCTGGCGTCAGGTTTGTCTCACCCATCTGGAAAATGCTTGTATGCCCGAAATCTTAGTTTGTTGGGTTCCCGCTCCAACCCCCCCACCATTACATCTAACAAAATTAGGCGATTCCTCACCCAGGAATCTTCTCCTCTACCCACGGGGAGCCTTCCCGAGCCCCTTGCCGGACAGGCGCACACTACTGTGGGCAGATGGGCAGCACAGCCCCGCACCCTTCACACCCCTCCGCAGGGGCAGCATCCCCCCGGACACCAAACCCGGTCCCCCGGATCTCCCTTGCACATGGTGCGTCTGGGGGGATGGGGCGCGTTTGGGACCACGGCTCCTCAGCGCGGAGCCCGTAGGAGTCCGTGCGAAGACCCCCAAAAAGCCACTTTCCCCCCCTTTCACTGTGCACCAAGCGGATCCCTTCCACACATTCCCGCCACCCTCCCGAGGGTACCGGGAACCGGCCGGGCTGGGGACCGGTGCGCGCCTTCCCCTCCCCTCAGGAGCAGATAACGGGCGGGTGTTATTTATTTTGCTTTAAATTAAGGGGAAAATATAATGAGCCGGGCGGGGAGAAAATAAAAGGGGAAGGAAAAAAAAAAAAAAGAAAAAAAGAAAAAAAGAAAAAAAAATGGCAAAGGGCTCGCTCAGGTGCCGACAGCCACAGGAGAAGCCCCGACTGGGGGAAGCCGAGGCGCCCGCACCGCCCACCCCGCCCGGCCCGCCCGGGANGGGTTGGGTTTTTTTAAATCTGTACAAACAGACGCACATACATAAATAGCCCGGGGAAACTCCTACCAGTGAGAGCCGGGCGGCTTTTACTGTAAAGACCCAGCTCGCTACGCCCACCAGAATCGTCCTAGACGGCGCCGGCCGGGCCCCCGGGATGCTCGGGGAGACGCGGGGGTGTCCGCCCAGCCGCCCACGCCGTGCCCGGCATCGGTATCCCCTGCCGGCACCCTCTGCGACCCAGCCCCTCTTTGCTCGGGCCGCAGAGCCGGGATCGCGGAGCGGACACGCAGCCGCCTCCTTTCCCCCCGGGGCTCGGGCTCTCCCCGTCCAGCCGTGTTGGGCAGCCCGAAAGGTGTGAGATGAGGGGCAAGGTGGGGCCAGCAGCGGCGCCGGTCCTGGAGGCAGCGAACTCCGACGGGGCGGCGGCAGCGGGAGCGGGGACAGCCGCCAGCCCGGCCGGGAGCGGCTCCTGTCCCGCTGAGCCCAGGGCATGCTGCCTCCCGAAAGCCCATCCGGAGGCACCAGGACTGGAAGCCGCTCGCCCGCCTGCCCTAACGTGGTGGGAGCTGGTGGGTAAAGGAGCGAGCTCCGGGCTCGCATGAAAGTCTCTCTTGCCGCCTTTTGGGTTTCAAGCACGTGTTTCGTGCCACGGCACTCTGGGGCTGTGTTCCAACGTCCCCAGCGCACATCCATCCACATCCTCTCTGCCGCAACCTCTCAGGTCACAGAATCTGTCACCGCGCTGCGCCGGAGGCTTAGGATATTAATTGCAAATCTTCAACGCCATCTTCTGAAATTTAAATGCAATTATCGCCACGTTTGGAGGGAGAAGTGAGAAGTGCAGGCGTTTTCAGGTATTTGGTTTGTAACACGCCATCCGTCCTCTAAAAAAAGCATTGGCAGGGCCGGTATGAAATCCTTTCAGCCATGAGCCAAGACATCTTTGGAACAATGTAATACACGTTTGAGATTGGAGGTGACTGCTACCGAAAATCAAGACAAGTAACCACAGCTTTACCAAAAGGCATCTGAAAGACTTTCTAAAAATCCAATTTCATTTTGTAGGGTTAAGACTGTGCGGTACTCAGGGCGCCAGCTGTGATTTCACTAAGTATAAAACCATCTTGAAATATACCACTGTAAAAGGAACACTTCTCATGTCTTCTCTTTTGTGGTTTTTAAATCAGCAAATTCAGGACCAGGGTGAAACATGCAGATTGGATCTGCACTAGGTCAAACCCTTCAGGAGAAAAATAAAAACCTTCTTTCTCAAGTGCTGGGGAATATTTAAAAAAAAAAAAATAGTTGTCCTTGTCGATAGAAATCCATGTAAAGATGGAGCGGTAGGTAAATTGCGTATTAAGAGAAGATAAAATCAATCATAGAATCCCCAGAGAGTTACATATGTAGGAAATTACCTGGCTGGGTGGTTGGTTGCTCTGTGTAGCAAGAACTCTACTACAAAACTATCTCCAGTTGCCTAAATGTTAGAGGAGATGATTAAAGCCAGACCCCTAAATGCACACTCAGCCTTAGCAAATCAGTCCTCTTATGAGGAAGACATTCTAATCTCATCAGCTTTGC